GAGTTTCTGGCTGCTCTTCATGTCCATCTAACCTTCATCAACTCTGGACTCAATCTGCTGGAAGAAGAACAGACAACCTCCAAGAAGTCAAATTTTTTTGGGAAAAAGAGAAATTTAAAATCTTTCTACCGGAATGCTGTGGACAAGGCCTTACAGAGCCCATATGGACACCTGGACTTGTTTCTCCGCTTCCTCCTGGGTCTTTCACTGCAGACCAATCAGACTCTCCTACGGGGCCTGCTGACACAGACAGGAAGTAACTCATGGACCAATCAGAAAACACTCCTGTACATCAAGAAGAAGCTCAGTGAGAAACTGAGTGCAGAGAAGAGCATCAATTTGTTCCACTGTCTGAATGAACTGAATGATCGTTCTCTAGTGGAGGAGATCCAACAGTCCCTGAGTTCAGGAAGTCTCTCCACAGATAAACTGTCTCCTGCTCATTGTTCAGCTCTGGTCTTCATTTTACTGTCATCAGAAAAAGATCTGGATGTGTTTGACCTGAAGAAATACTCTGCTTCAGAGAAGGCTCTTCTGAGGCTGCTGCCAGTGGTGAAAGCCTCCAACAAAGCTCTGTGAGTCATGTGTTTTGTCCTCCCCCCTTGATTCCTTAAATTCTACTTGACAAGAAAAAAAAATCATCATGTGCAACCTTAGCCTTAAAAAATGAATTGACTTATTGTCAACAGCTGCAGACAAATTTCTTTCTTTTCTGGTTTGTTCTTTTTTTGTATATTTTTCACACTTAAATGTTATGCGTCATTAAACGAATTGTAATATTAAACAAATATAACTCAAGTAAATACATAATGCATTTTTAAAATTATGATAGCTTTTATTTTTAATAAATTATATTAGACCTTGTTGGCCCTATATGCAAAAAGTAATCCAAGAAGCACTCTTGAAAACTGGCAATGGCGCTTTCACATTACTGTGGAGGAATTCTGGTTCCTTCTTTGAAGAGTTTTTTTTAGCCATTAATTGTTTAAGGACACATCCAAAGAAAAAGTGAGGTAAGTGACAGAAGTGATGGAAAGGAAAATGCTGTAGGTGACATCAGACACATGGGAGTTAGCGGAAAACAAAACAGAATTTTAGCTCAGAATTAAACAAACATTTTTTTAAGCTTCAGTTTTACGTAAGTATACCAAAAAAATCTGCAAATAATTGACCATGTCTGCTTATTCATCTCCTACACCCTGGAGGTCGGTGAGGAGAATGTGAGCACTCTCCAAGATTACATTACAGATGCTTCAAAGAGATAATTATGAAGAAGAGTCAATGATGAAGAGCTCTCTAACCGAGAATGAAGAAATGAATGAAAAAAATAAAATAAAATAAAAGAGACTGTCATAGATATCCAGCCCATAGTATGAGAGAAAACCTTGTTTTTTCATGTATCCGCACACAATAGGACAACTGTTAAAAACTGTATAAAGACCCATCTAAAGCTTCTGAAGGACACTGTGGAGAACATCAGCTTTGTTCATCGTATAGGAACCAAGAAAACTGGTGGCTGGAGACCATGTCCTATTGGAGCGAAATACTGTAATTTCAAACAGGAACAGGCTAAGAGTCACAACAGGGAGCTGAAGGAACATATTTCCATATCCAGGTAGAGGTAATCAGGCTAATGAACTTCTTTCCGCTTTTAGTGATGCTGGGAAGTGGGCTGTTGAATATGGATAGTGGCTTCAGTGGAAAACGGATCAGCCATGGAAAACATCAGTGCTGAACTGGAAATATTGTGTGTTAGATATGTGTAAGTTAAATAAACTGAAACGAAAGAGTCACCTGATCCTTGTTTGGGGTCCAAATCATTCACAGACAAACAAACACAAGCCACTGTTCTATCGACATTTAAAATGAATGTTCTTATATGTGGCTATCAGGCCCTTATAGAGCAAAATCAGGTAAAAAGATAATTCTTTGTTTTTACATTCATCAGGTCCCAATCAGCCCAAATAGCAAAGAGAAATTAAAAATGCATGCCATGAAAGAGTTTGGGTCTTAGTCGGTTAACCAGCTTAAAAAACTACCACTGATGTAGATTGCCTAATACTAAGAGAAAGATCATTCCAAAGCTTTGAGGCCACAATAGAGAATGTTTGGTCTCTTCTAAGATTCAGCCACGATTTAGAAACTGAGAGCAACAGCTGCTCAGCTGACCGGAGTGAACGAGGAGGGACATAGTG